AGTGAGGAACACGTTTCTCAAAAATCAGGCAATAGTTTACAAGTTATTGCTTGGCTAACTTGCTAGTTATTCATAGCTAATATTTTTTACATGCACATACACACGTATATAAATATATATGTATATAAAATTATATCGATATACGTACATAGATAATATTATACAAGCATAAAAAAAAACTATACAAAGAAAAAGAAATATTTTATATTACCAGATCACACGTGTAAACCCTTACAGAAAACTAAAAAAAGGGCTATATAAAAAAGTTCAACATATCAACTAATGTAAAGTTGATCTCATTAAAAAGAAATTTCTCTTAAAATAAAGTATTTTATTATGTGTGCAGTTAAGTAAACAAAAAAAGTTCACACCATAATATTTGTGCAGCGATAGACAAATGTATAAAGTCTAAAAAAAAAAGAGTTGAAAGTAGTCTTTTTAATCTGTGCCAAGGTGAGAAAGTGTGAAAAAAAAAAATCAAGAAAAAGAATTCTAGAAAAAGGTGGAAGTGAGCACTTATCAGTTAAACGGAAGTAATATTTCGATATTTGCTGATCATAATATTTTCAAAGGAAAAGAAATACCAAAATGCCTGGATATTTGTTTCCAATGGAGTAAATAATACAACCGAACTTCAAAACTGATTCAGCGACCTCTGTATTAAAAAATACCAAACTGGAAATCAAATATAAAATAAAAGATAAAAAACTAACGATTACGGAATCATATATATACATATATATATACACATAATATCAAATATATATATATATATATATATACATACATATATATATATATATATATATATATATATATTATATATATATATATATATATATATTAAATAAATATATACATACATACACAGAAACATATATATATGTATATATATACATATATATGCTTTGCGTCTAATTTAAGAATAAATTGATTTCACGCGCGAATACGCATATACAAATATATAAACATACACACAGACACACACACGCACATACACACACACACACATATATATATATAGATATATATATATATATAAAGGTATATATTTGTTTACTTATTGTGCTGCTTACGCATTCGCAATATCGATGTTTACGTGAATATCTACGTTTTTTGTAATTATCATGTATATATATGCTTGTATTTGTCTGTAGACATCGTATTGCCGAGAGAGAAGTGCTTCTAACAGCAAGCGGCATTAGCAGCGGTACCAGTCGCTAAAAGTGAGTTGGAGCGTACGGCTTAGATTCTGATTTTACTTTAATAATAATAATAATTAAAAAAAAAATATATATATATATAAAGGAAATTATCTTACGCATTTTTGAAACAACTACAATTCGTTTGGCAGACGACCCTTTTTACCTGTGGGAGGTGGTGTACGCGTTGCCCCTCAGCTGCACAACCAGTTGTTGACGGAGGGGCCGGATTAGTATACTTTTCTCATTTGATTTTATACATCATGAAGGCCGGTGATATATTAGCGTGACCTGGTGTGACCTGCTGTCTGGATAATGGGTAACGTACGTCAAGCCCGTTGTGGGCCATTACGGTGGGATCAATGGACAAATGTCCCCTTCATTAGACTTTTTGGACTTTTTGGACTCATAATTTACTCGGACTTAACAGGTAAGTGGATTTGTTTAATTTCTTTTTAATATGGGGCAATAATTAACCAGTTAAATTAGAAAAAAAAAAAAAGATTACAATTGATTATTTATAACGTTAAAAGCTAACGATGTTTTCATTCCACCAAAGTGGAAATCACCCGTGCTCTCTGTTATATTATATATTTCCAGTACAATACCAACTACCCATATGTTGTATGAGGGTAGATACAACAAGGGCTATGGATATTTGGTGTGGTTTAGATTAGGTAAGAATTTAACGGATTTAGTAATTTGGATTTCACGACTCATATTAGATGATGGTAATTCCTTTGTTTATTTTTATTGGCACGTGCCACAAGGTCCAGGTGAACATTAGTCGGCAGTCTTGGGGTTGAGAGTCACTCTGTACTTCAAGATTTATCGAAAATGTTGTTATAATATGTAGACAGGTGGGTCAATTTAGGCTCGCTGTACCAAAACGAAAAGAAACGTGATATGGTAACGTTTTTGAAAGGAAACTGAGTGAGTTTCTTAAAACGCATTTTCAAGACTGTTTTATATTATTCAACCCTTTTAAGGCAATCGACGAGTAAAGCAATTCTGCCGAGGGAAAGGCTTTTCCACATCTTCAAATTATCACAGTTCGAAATATCTACACTAGATTCCTATGTCTATATCTCTATATTTCTATCTATTTGTATATACGTGTGTATGTGTGGGTGTCTGCATGTAACTCATTGTGTTCATATATATATATATATATATATATATATGTATATATATATATATATATATATATATATATCACTCTCTCTGTATATATGTGTGAGTCTGTATAACATTATTTTCATGTCTATCTATATCTATATAGATGTGTAACACATTTT